TACATTAAAAGGAATAAATTTTAAAAAATGCAGCGCATCACCGAGATGGGCGTCAATGTGGTGTACCTCCAAAGCAGAGCTATCAATAGATCCCATGGGTAAGTTTCCTGCTCCGGCCTCTGATGCCATCACCCACTCATCTCTTCTAGTGAGCAACCAGGAGGTGGTAGGCATGATGGTTAGCTCTTTCTTTCCTGGTGTTTCACTCCAAGACACACATGTGTGTACACCTACGCACTTGCACACCCCCACACACATCCCTAATCAGCCCTAGCCTTTAATTCCCCTTAGTCTCTCAGAGTAGTTCCTTTTTCTGGTCCTGCTGCCCCTACCCCACCTCAGGTGGTCATCTCTCATCACTTGGCCTGACACAGACTTCTCCTCTTCTTCCTATTCACTCACTAATTTGCACACTAATTTGTTGGGCTCTTTCTGTCTCCACCAACAGACCTTGAACCACATTTCTCAGACTCACATCTGACTCACTTACTCCCCTGGCTTAAAAATTTTGGAACGTGGAGCTGTAGGGATGGCTCAGTGTTTAAGGGCATGTGCTGCTCTTGCAGAGGACCCAGGTTCTATTCCCAGCACCCACATGGTGGTTCACAAACATCTGTAACTCCAGTTCTGATGCTTTCTTCTGACCTCTGAGAGCACCAGCATGTATACGGTGTACAGACATATGTTCAGGCAAAACACAGATACATTTTTTAAAAAATTAACCAGGAGTGGTAGTGCGCACCTTTAATCCCAGTGACCCAGGAGGCAGAGGGCAGGCAGATCTCTGAGTTCAAGGCCAGCCTGGTCTGCAGAGTTAGTTCCACATCAGCCAGGGCTACACAGAGAAACACTCTCTCCAAAAACCAAACCAAACAATAAAATCTGGGGGGGGGGGGGGTAGGGGGGAGGCAGGCATGGTGTGGTACACTCCTTTAATCTAAGCTCTCAGGAATCAAGAGGTAAGTGGATCTTTGTGAATTTGAGGCCAGCCTGGTCTACATAGCCCGTTTCAGGAGAGGAGGGGCTACACAGAGAGAGCCTGTCTCAAATAAATAAATAAATAAATAAATAAATAAATAAATAAATAAGCCTTGAAACATGAGCAGAACCCCAGAGCGTTAGCATGGGCCTCCATGACTTGGCCTCTGCTTCCTCTGCACACTCATGGCCAAACCCTTCTCAGGTCCTCCTCCCCGGGCTCCAGTCAGCATTCTCTGGCACCCCGGGCGTTCTCTGCCTCTCTGCTCAATGGAACGGCTTGCAAGCACACACACACACACACACACACACACACACACACACACACACACACACACACGCCAGTTCTCTAGATACCTGCTGCTCAGGAAGCAGTTTCTTTACTAGAGGAATTCTCACCCACCTCAGCCAGAGAGGCAGAATCAAGCTGATGTTTCCTAGCTGTAGACTGTGTGTATCTCTTCCCTTTCCAGCCCACCCTCTACTCTTACATAACAGGAAAGGTCTGAGACATGAGGATTTCCCACATCTAGAAAGGTGACTGGAACTGCCTTGAATGGAATCCATTTTGTCTCTACGAGAACCTGCCTTGGAGGCTGGGGGGGTGGGGGTGGCATTGATTGGCTTATTTGTCTGACATTCAGTTAACAAACACATTGAGCTCTGATGATGATCCAGGCCTTTGGGGTGAGGAAGGACCGGGAGATTCAGAGACCTTTGACCTCCAGGGTCCCCCAGAGTCTGTCACTCCAGTCAGGCGCCTCAGGGTCCAGGTAGAAAATCCTAAGAGGTCCTGCTTCCTGAGTGAGTTCTTTCTCGTTGATGGATTCATCCAACAAATGCATATTGAGCATCTGCTATGAGCTAGGGAGGGTCGTTTTGCAACAGAAAGAGCGGACCCTCGTTCTCCCAGAGCTCGCATTTCAGGATGGTGAGGGAGACAGAAAAGAGAATGAGCAGGGGAAACAACAAACTTAGAAGTCACATCCAAGGCCAGGAGCCCTTCAGCGAGGGCGGAGGAGAAGGTGTTTTAAACAAGGCGGTGGGCTTCTCTGAGAAGGCAAATGACCTTGGGGGGTGAGGGTGTGAAGGAAATCCACATTTGTTTTGTTTTTTTTTTTTTTTTCCTGCAAATTTCTCACAAGGGAGGCCGCCGTGTGCGCAGGGGAGAAAAGGCCCGGGTCGCAGAAATGATTCCAGTTGGAGCTGTCTCTGATGGACACTTGAAAACCGTCTGGGAGCCGGGAAGCAGGCGCTGGGGGCCCAGGGGCTCTCGGGGCCCTGTGGCGGGGCTGTCAGGTTAATCCGGCTGCCTGCTCCCACCCTGCCCCTCCCTAGGGGGCGTTTGCTTCGCGGAGAACAGTTCAGCTGAAGCCAGCTCTGCCAGGCGCTTTGAGCAGAAAAGCCGAGCGGCCGCGGAAGAGACCGCGAGAGGGACTGGGGAACAGAGGCTGCTGCAGAAGCGATGGGCAGGGCGACAGGGCCACCGTGCGCCCGGGGCCCCGGCCTAGCAACCCACGCTTCTCCGGGGCGCAGGACTGTCTATTCGGTGATCACCGGGCGGCAGCGGTGGCCTAGGAGCCCCGAGCAGGGAGCCCCCTGCCCATCGCCTCCTCGTTTGGAGCTGGCGGGTCGTGAAAACACCCCGGGACAGGACGGTCCCCGCGCCAGGGCTCTCCCGCTCCGAGTTGCACAACCAACCGTTTCAACATTTCGCCACAAACCCGGTCCACTGTGGGGCCCGCACATTAAAAAGTGTTATTCGCTTTGAAGGTTTTGTCTAATGGTTCTAAACTGAAAGAAAATGTTTTCCTATTACTTAATTCAATCATAGCGAAGAGACTTGGTAAAAAGCCCACGGATTTTGTCCCAAAGTGTGACAGAGTTCTCTTTGTGTTTGCTTATCCTCCGCTGTCACACACTTTAATTCGCCTCTCTTTATCTGGCATTCAAAACTTTCTTCAATGACATTCAATAAGGTCCAGGGGCTGCAGGGAGAGGGGGAAACTGGTTATTCCCCCCCACACCCCTCTATATTCTTTCCCAGTAGCTTGGGCCTTGCTTGTATTCAAGGGCTCTTAACCCCTTCCTAGCTTGGAGTGCTGGGCAGCTCCCAGGAGGGCCCCTGCACTGGCATCTCCGGGGACACGCCAGCTCTAGGGCTCAGTGGCCTCTCCGTCTACCCTCGGGCGGCATCCACACCCACTCCTCCGGAGCCCGCCTCGGCCCAGCGGGGTGCCCCTCTCCACTCGCAGCTCTCCACCACCCAGCCCAGCCCCAATTTCCCAGAGAGCAATTAGAACGGGAATTAGGCTGCATTGATGCGTACCGGCTGGTTTGCAGGAGCTTTGGGGCCGAGACCGTGGCTTGGGGGCACCCCATGCCAAGCACCAGGGAACCATTGATCCCTCCCTCACTCCAGCTAGATGGCGAGATGGCACGCCCTCGGTGCAGGTTAGTCCCCCTATTGCGGCTCTCCCATTGTGGAAGCGGTTGTTCTCACACACACACCCTCTCTCCCATAACAAATCATCTTTGATTTTTTTTTTTAACCAGTTGTTTGTGGCTGCTCGTACTGGACGGATGTCATGAACAGTGCAAACCGGTGCAGACGCCTCGGGTTTGGGTAGCCTTGTCCTGATTCCCCCCACCCCCATCCTCGAAAATCTGCCCCTTCCTGGTCTCACAATTCTGTTCACGACTGAGAGCAGGTGACGGCAGCGATTTGTAAAATCGAAAGTAGTAAATTCGAAATATTTATGCTAATTCCCCATTGTATGGAAAACGCACAGGAACGGAAACGGCTCTGAACCGCGAGTGATTTTTTTAAAAAAAAAAAAAACTGAAGATGTGTACACAGAGCGGGGCATTTGAAGTTGTTTAACCATTGTGTGCCCGGGGGGGGGGGGGGCGCGATGGGAGGAAGAAGCAAGGGCGAGCGAAGCTGGGAGAGACAGAAGAGCGCCTTTCTTTCTCTCCAGCCGTGGGAAGGCAACGGTCCCGAGGGCACCCACGAATCTAGCGGCGTGTGCGCGAGTGGAGAGTGCTCGTGCAACGTCTGCGCGAGTCTAGACCATCCGCACTCGCCACGTTCGGCGGGGTGGTAGAGCGTCACACGAATGACTGGGCTTTCACGCCCCACGCTCGGTATCTGTCCACATTTTTAAAGTCTACCCGTCCCGGTGCTCGTGTTATTGTTTTGTTTCTTGACATCCGCGGCCCTGGTGTTGAAGGAAAGGGCTGGCTGACCACGGGCCACTGAACAAAGACTTAGGGATCGTATGCAACACTAAAGTTGAGACCATTTGAAAAATTCAGAGAAAACAGAGGGACAGAAATGAAGCCAGTCTCGAACGGGCAATAGTGAGCCCCTCTTCCTCCTCTGAGGCGCATCTTCTATCCAGAAACCCTGGTCTGTCTCCAACGCTAGGAGAGCAGGGACTCCACAGGTGGGAACGAGGGCCGTCTGCTAGGAGCTCGCAGGACGCAGGGCTGAACAGAGAGAACTAAGAGAAAGCATTACACTTGCTGTGTCTGGGGAGGTGGGGGGCTCTCAAGGAAGAGGTAACAGAGAGAAAGGGATCGAGATCAACTGGGCAGAGGAGATGGGTGTGTGCCCACGGGGATCTGTGGAAGCGAGGCAGCACGGGTGCAAAATCAATGAGATAAATGGGCCGATTGCCAGCGCAAAGCCAAAGGGGAATAAGAAATAAAGAGAAAGAAAAGAATATTAAATCGCGGGAGAATGAGAAAATAAACCCGAAAAGGGGAGTGGAGGGGGCGAGTGCGCCTGTTACGGCGTGGGTGGGGTTGACAAGAATAGAGTACATTATGCAGTTCATTTAGTTAACAAGTGAAATAATGAGGAAGCGTGCAGAGAGAATGCCAAGAGAAAGGGCACAAAAACCCTATTGAGAGGCCCCGGCCGCTCCTGGCGTAGCCCATCACATGGCAATAGTCCTATTTAAGCGGCGGCGCGGGCGTCTTTCAGCACCACTAGCGCTGGCCAGCACCTCGCGCGCTCCGGGCGGCGCCCGCAGCAGCAGCAGCAGCAGCAGCAGCAGCAGCAGCAGCAGCAGCAGCAGCAGCAGCCGAGGTGACTTCAGCTGCGGCTGGAGTCGCGCGTGGAGCCTCCGGGGCCCAGGCAGTTGCGGGAGGCCGCGGCCGGGGGAAGCGAGTGCAGGACCCGCAGCTCCCTTAGGCGCCAGGGGCGGGCTGGCGGCGGGTGGACCGCGCGCCGGCGCCATGCCGCGCTCCTTCCTGGTGGACTCGCTGGTGCTGCGGGAGGCCAGCGACAAGAAGGCGCCCGAGGGCAGCCCGCCACCGCTCTTCCCTTACGCGGTCCCCCCGCCGCACGCGCTGCATGGCCTCTCGCCCGGCGCCTGCCACGCGCGCAAGGCCGGCTTGCTGTGCGTGTGTCCCCTCTGCGTCACCGCCTCGCAGCTGCACGGGCCCCCCGGGCCGCCGGCGCTGCCGCTACTCAAGGCGTCCTTCCCTCCCTTCGGATCGCAGTACTGCCACGCGCCCCTGGGCCGCCAGCACTCGGCCGTGTCTCCTGGGGTCGCCCACGGCCCGGCTGCGGCCGCAGCAGCTGCCGCGCTCTACCAGACCTCCTATCCGCTGCCGGACCCCAGGCAGTTCCACTGCATCTCCGTGGGTAAGCCGGGGTTCCCCCCCCTCCCGCGCGCGCGCGCGAGCTGGCGTGGAAGAACCGGTGATGGCAGGGGGCAAGTGGGCGAGCTGGGGATCGGGAAAAGGTGCGCTATGAAGGCGCTGAGGATCCTGTCCCGGATCTTCGAGGGGCGCTCACAGTGGTGGGCCGGGGCAGGACGCAGGAACCGGGGTGAGGGCTGAAGATCCTGGGTCTGGGACTTTGGGGGGAGGGGTTGGGGGTTGAGGTCAGCTTCAGGGAGTTCCATAAAGGGATGTTGGGGACGACCTAACAGAGAATAAGGGATTCTGTGACTTGGCAAGGAGGCGCCCGCCTGTGGTGAGTGGAAAGGGTGTGTATGGGGGTCCAAGGTTGAAGCTAACCGCAGCTCTGCGGGAAATTAGGCCCGTGGCTCAGACGTCTGATGACTTCTCTCTCTCTGTCCCCGCGTCGTCCCTCCAGACAGCGGCTCGAACCAGCTGCCCAGCAGCAAGAGGATGCGGACGGCGTTCACCAGCACGCAGCTCCTAGAGCTGGAGCGCGAGTTCGCCTCCAACATGTACCTGTCCCGCCTGCGGCGCATCGAGATCGCGACCTATCTGAACCTGTCCGAGAAGCAGGTGAAGATCTGGTTTCAGAACCGCCGAGTGAAGCATAAGAAAGAGGGCAAAGGCAACATCCACCGCGGCGGCGGCGGCGGCGGCGGCGGGGCTGGGGCGGGGGCCGGCGGGGGCGCAGCGCCAGGCTGCAAGTGTTCCTCGCTCTCCTCGGCCAAGTGCTCAGAGGATGACGACGAATCGCCCATGTCTCCATCCTCCTCCGGGAAGGATGACAGAGATCTCACAGTCACTCCGTAGGTGCGCCCTTCAGAGGACCACTGGCTCCCCGGCCCTTCCCGCACCTCAAAGACTGGTTCCCCAGGCACCCGCCGCCAATCGATGGATTTGGGTAGGGCTTCGCTGTGGTACCCAGCTCGAGACAGAGCTAAGACTTTTTAGCAGAGACTTGAAGACAGTGCCCCTGGCCCGTAGGCTCCAAGGGTGTCTAGGAGGACTCCAAGCGCTGAACCCAAGTTCTCCGGGTCCTCTTCCCAGGACATAGCCTTCCCCAGAGGCGTGCAGGCCCGAGCCCAGCGCCTTGCTGGCCGACGGCACCTCCTCGCCCATCCATTCTGGGCTGGTCCAGGCTTTCTCCCTGCCTCTACCCTCTCCTCCTCGGTCAAGCTGGGCCTTTCACTCCGCGAATGGCTGTTTGTTTCCCTTTTAACATTTTTTCCCCCTTGTCCTCAACTGTTTTCCCACAGTGGTCGTTTTTGCAACGCGCTCATGAACTGAACTTTTCCCTTTCCTTCCCTCCCCCCTCCTCAGGGAGCCTCTTCCTTCAGTCCGTTTGCCCCTTGACCAGGGACAGGTTCGAAGTCCTCTTAGCCGAGAGGAACCTCTCCCGTGGCGTTGTGTTGGGGAAAATGACTTAGTTTGTTTCCAACACGTTCTGCATTCCCTCAGATGAAGACAGATCCCTCTCCTCCGCCATAAACGACCTCTCCCCACCCTCCAGGTCCCGACCCCGCTGGGGACTGACTGTGTAATTGTATGGTCTCTGTAATGCCAGAAGATATTTATTTATTTATTTATGTACAAAATTTTAAATAAACTTTTTTTTTCTTAGAAATTCCTCTGCCTTTGGGTGCCTAGGTTTAGACTGTGGGCTAGGCAGGCACGGGCATAGGCTGACACTCTTCCGGGGCCTTGTAGAAGTCCAAGAGCAGCTTCTCACCTTACAGCCAGCCACCTCCCTCCCTACACCCCAACCCTCCCCTCCTGGTTTCTGCTCCAGCTCCGCACCCTTCCCCAGTGTTCTAGTGCGGGCCCCACATGGTGCTCCCTCGGCTCTCCAGCAAAGGATGTGATACTTGGTGGCTAACCCCAAGGTATGAGACTAGAGGCTTGTCTTGCTTGACCTTGCCTTCTTTAGAAAGGGTGCACCTTGTTTTGCTTCCAGGCAAAAGGTCCTTGAAGTGGCGCACGATTCCAGGTGAGAATTCCGACGACCTGAAGCGACCTCATTGCTGGAGCAGTAGGGAGCCAGCACCTGGTGTTCGGGGACCTCGCATTTTGGCCAATTCTATTAGAAACCCCACAGTCGCTATGACGTAGATTCTACTCTTTAGTCTTCCTGGGGGGGGGGGGTCTGCGTGTGTGTGTGTTTTTTTTATGCGGCTGTGTTAGATGAGGTGCATGGAGTTCCGCCAAGACGGTGAGCACATAAACGTTAGACACCCAGTGACAGTTGTCAGGAAATTCAAAAACGGGCAGAGAGAGGATCCAGGTGCTACCTCTGGAAGACTTTATATTTCTTATCTGACACCTAGGATCCTTCTTTTCCTTCCAGAAACCCACCCTTCTGCTAACACACTCAGAAGAACCCCGAACTCACAAAGCATCTCTCATGGAAAAAAAGACACGTAGCTGGGGTTGCTCAACATTTGTGGTACTTTCTTGTTTTGTCTTCTCATTGAAACCAGGCTCTCAGTGCGAGGGTCTCTCTCCAGTTCCCCCTAGAAGAGCGGGCGCCCTTAGGAGAAACCCGTTTTGATTCTCCCCTTTTTATTCAGATAGAGAGGGGAACTGTTGGCTTGGCCCTGCCTCCCACCCCCATTCCCATCCATCTGAACTTCAGTCTCCCTCGGGCTGGTTCTCCAACCTCCCTGGAGGAGGCACGGTGCCAACCTAAAGGCAGCCAAGGCTCTCAGGACTGACGCTGATAGAATAGTGACTGACGTCTTGTTGTTGGGGCGACTGCAGTGCCTTCCTGGCTGACATGACCACGTAGGTTTGTCGAGCGTGCTAATGGGTCCTTTAGCCCCATGAAACCCACCAGTGTGACTTCGGCAAGGATTCAGGGGCGAACTGCTCCCAGTGACCCTCAGTGTGCGGCAGAAGTCTGCAGTGGATTCGAAGGGCTCGCTTAAAAGCAGGTCTTCACCTGGATTATCTGAATGGGTGGCTTCTGTGCAGAAGGACAGGCTCCGTGGGAGACCCCTCCACAAGAAATACAGTTTCAAACCCGCGGGAGAGCCGAGTTGGGAGTGGGAGGCCCCTGGTTTGCGGTCTCTGAGTCTTGCTCCTTCGGTTCTCTGTGGCGGGCAGCGATGGTTTGTAGTGCGCCGAGCCCACACCGCTTCGATTTTCCCAGGAGCCAAGTTTCTTCCTCTGATCTCTGTCCCAGGGCTTAATTTTCCTGCCAGTCTTGGGGCCCAGAGCGCTAGGCTTTTGGCATTCTGGTGGGCGACCCTGGAGCGTAGTGGGATAAGAGCGCAGCCTGCTCCTGCCGGCCCCGGTCGTTCCCCAGACCTTGGTGAAGCGCAGCGAAGGAAATGCGCAAGCGGCTTCGGTGGCGGCGGTGGCGAGCAACAGGGCTCAGCGTCCTTCGCCTGAACCACAGTGACCCGCATCCGAAAGCTGCTACAGGATTCCGCTCGCAATAGCCTACAGACTCCGGCCTGAATGCAGAAATAGTCTGGGTTTTATAAGGACCTAGTCTCGAGGCTGAAGAAGGGCCAAAGTCAGTTCTCCAAGAGCGGGTTGGGGTTGCAAACCCCATCTGGGAGACAATTCAACCTTTAAATCCATGGTTTGAGCTGGAATTTGGAGTTTGTAAGGCAAATTGTAAAATTAGACCCAAGCCGGATGATGAAGATGAGGTTTCCTGTGAATTATCGTTGAATTGGAGAATCCACAAATAGATCGCCAAGTTTATTCGGTGACAGCGTCCTTTTCCCAGTAGAGTTAGTTCAGTGGCTAGGAGTCTGAGGAACTAGAATTCAGTCTTGGCTTTGCAAACCATTTCGACCGTTTACTTAAACTGGGTAATTGTGCTCGGTTTCTGTGCAATATTGAAGGACAGAATTCACATAGAACGCTAAGCACAATGCCCACCAAATTTCAGTGAGAATCGACATTGTCGTTGTTGCATTGAAGTGGTTACCGGTGGCGTCCACATCTGTGGTGGGAGTGGAGTTAGTGCTGAATTATTTAGGGAGTGCTGAGGTGACCAGTCACACACAGCTTTGCCCTGAACAAAAAGCAAGAAGAATCCCAGCGCATAAACTGGGTGTGGTGAGGATGCTCGCCCTAATCCCAGAACTGAGGCAGGGGAAGCAGGAGTTCCATCAAAGCTGGGAATCACTTCAAACAGGGGTCCTCCCCCGACCTTCTGGTGGACCTGCTGTTCCACCCCGCCTTGCTGATGTCTTAGTTCAGATGATTCTTTTAGGGGTGTGCCCTGTTCAGGATGCTAACCTGCATTCTTGTCCTCTACCCTTAACTGCCAGTAGATCGATCTATCTATCTATCTATCTATCTATCTATCTATCTATCTATCTATCTATCCATCCATCCATCCATCCATCCATCCATCCATCTCTGTCTCACTTGTGACAGTTAAGGGTTGTTGCCAAGTCTCCTGGAGGGCAGAACAGTTTCAGGCTGAAAACCGCCAATACGGATCTGAACTATCCCTGTTGAAGTCCCAAATGGCCAGGATTGCACAGCCCAATTCTGAGCATTCTTTATCCCTCTCTCTCAGTTCTCTGTCTCAGACATGTGGGGTGCTAGACCTGCACTGTGGGGTGCTGGACCTGCACTGTGGTGTGGTGTGTAAGGAGGAAGGAGAAAGAGAAATAGAGGCTGGAGGGGGTGGGGGGGCATCCCAACAAAGGCATCTCTTCTCATCTCAGAACAGTTCAGGGGGAAGGTTGCTGGATGAGTGGTTTGCAAGCCACCACAGCCTTCCCAGAGTTTACTATGCATATGGCTCAGGGCTTGTAGATACTTGGGATTCATGAAACAAGTACTGTCCATAATGTCCGTGCTATCTCACAGGGGAACCTTTCGGGAAATTACTTTGGAAACGGAGGTGTGTCCCAACAAACCTGTCTTCCCTCCCCTCTCCTTCCCCCTCCCACTCTCCTCCTCTCTCCCCTTCCCTCCTCTCCCCTCTCCCCTCCCCTCCTCTCTTCTTCCATTATGGCTCCTCTTCTTTTTTTCTTTCTTTCTCTTTTGTTTTTTTTGGAGGGGGGGCCTTTTTTTTTGAGACAGGGTTTCTCTGTGTAGCCCTGGCTGTCTTGGAACTCCCTCTGTAGACCAGCTGGCTTCAAACTCACAAAGATCCTCCTGCCTCTGCCTCCCAAGTGCTTGACAGTTTGAAGCTAAAACTCAATTCTCTTTGATTAAAGTCTCTCATCTTCTATTCAAAGACAGAAACTTCCGAAAACAGGGACCAAAGAGGGATGATGTTGTTAAGTGTCAGGATGCATGCTGTTCATATGCAAGGCCGTGGGTTCAAACCAGAGCCATCAAAAATTCACATACAGACAGGGTGTGGGGGCCCAGCACTCAGGAGGCAAAGGTGGGTCTCTGATTTCAGTTCAAGGCCAGCCTGATCTACAGAGTGAGTTCCAAGACAGCTGGGCTGCACAGAGAAACCCTGCCTTGCAAAGACAAATAAATAAACGAATAAATAAATTCACATGCACACACCTGTGCATGAATATTGACAGCTCTTGACTTTTTCTGAGAAGGCCCTAGAAGGGCAAAGGTGTAGAAGGGTCTTGAGGACTGGGGGTATAAGGAGAGGGGGAGGGACCTGGGAGAGCTGGAAGGACAAGAAAAGAATCACGGGTCCTGGAGGGTTCTGAATGCCACTGTGGCACCAGTCTGTGTTTCTTGGGGTCATGTGCCCCCCACTCACAAGATCAGGGTATGAGTTGGTTTAACAGACTCTTGCAGAGCCAACATCACCCTGAGACTAAATGAGTGGTTCCCATGAGACAACACCTCACAAATCCACCTCTTCCCCAACCTCTCATGAAGTAAGTTCCTAATACGGTGTCCCAGGCCTGAAACATAAACAGAACTCAACCATATACATAATGTTTTTATACAATACACATACACAGTGAAGTTTACTTTATAAATTAACCAAGAGGCTAATCATTAATAACAGAGCATTTATAAGACTATGACAATAAAAGTTATTTTAAACCTGTGAGTTATTTACTTCTGGAAATTTCTATTTAAATTTTTTTGGCTAATGTAGAACACAGGTAATTGAGACCAAAGAATATAAAACAGCACCCCAAGGGGTTACTACTGTACTCGAAGTTTTGTGCATGTGAGCATGTGTTTTGTGTGTGTGTGTGTGTGTGTGTGTGTGTGTGTGTGTGTGTGTGTGTGTGTTTTAGAGGGAGGATAAGCCAAAATGAAGGGGTTTGTTGTTGTTGTTGGTGGTGGTGGTGGTTGGTGATGCATTTTTGTTTTTGTTTTACAAGGTTTCTCTGTGTAGTCCTGGATGTTCTGGAACTCACTCTGCAGACCAGGCTGGCCTCAAAATCAGAGATCCACCTGCCTCTGCCTCCTGACTGCTGGGATTAAAGGTGTGCATCACAACGCCTGGCACAAAATGTTTTTAAAATATAAGAAAAACAAGGGCTGGAGAGATGGCTCAGAGGTTAAGAGCACTGGCTGCTCTTACAGAGGACCTGAGTTCAATTCCCAGCAACCACACGGTGGCTCACAACCATCTGTAATGAGATCTGGTGCCCT